GAAGGCCCAATCAGAAGTAATTCAGGGGCAGACGCAAAAATCAGATGCTAACTTTAAATCTTAAAACAAGTGGGTCTGCTGCCCTACATAAAATTATTACTCTTTTAGCAATAGATCATATGAGAATTTTGTGAGCCTTCTTGGTTTTTGCACAATCAATAAGTGATGGGTTTAGAGTCTATTTTTAATTGAGGTCAAAAAGTGTTGAATTTGGGTATCTTTGGAATATTTAAGTAGTCTAAACTTTTTAACTATTTAAAGATTTTATTACCATTTCAGGGCCAATTAATTGAAAGGTTATCCTCCTTTAAAAAAAAAAGTGTTGTATGTATTAAAAAAGTATTGTATAATTAAGACAGTATCATATAAACAATTAAATGGGATAGGCCCCTTTATTTAATGATTTTATTTTATAACTTAGTGCAATTTAGGCAATAAAACATAAAACTCTTTTTTTTTTGTAAGACCCTATGCTAAGCTCCTGAAGTTACTCTAAATGTTTGATCAAGTCCTTAGACTTTTATTAAAGCAAATAAGTCTCTAAATTTAATGATTTAGGCAACTTTCTCATTTTTTACTGTAGCTTTAATGTTTGTTTATATCCTACTTGCGTGAGTGAAGTTAATACTCACTACATTAGTAATAACATATCAATACTTTATTCATATAAGTGATACAAACAAACATTAAGTATGTCGTAAAAAAAGAAGTTTAAATTGCCTAAATTACTAAGTTTAGGGGCTTATTTGCTTCAATAAAAATTGAAGAGCTTAATAAAAAATTTAGGATAAATTTGGGGACTTAATGTAAGGTTTTGCCTCTTCTTTTTTATTTTAGGAAATCAAAAGTGATTCTTTTTATTTTTGGAGGGAAACAAAACTTTCTTTTTTTTTTACTAATCTCTCGGTATCCGTTAAACACACTGGATTCCGACTAATTCAAAATCGAATTGAGTTGACCCCATTAAAGGGAATCTCTCCTAATACCTGTTTTTTTATTCACAATACTCAAATTTAATATTCGAATTCAAGATTCGAATTCAAAACCTTATTTAAGAAGAATCGAATTCTTTTTACTCGGATCAACAAGTTATTGGTTGAGAAACAAAACATTAGCTAAAGCAACAACTTGGCAGGTAATTAAAGCAATGCTTAATCCCCACTTAGCCCCTTAATTTATAAATTTAAGGTTATTAGCCCTTCATCTAAAAATTTAAGAGTATTAACTCCTCAACAATATAATTAGGAGAAATTCATTTTTATATAATGGATTTTAACACTGTTGATCAAACTTGATTCCTATTTTAATTAGACATATAGTTAGCATCCCTATCCTACCTAGCATGCCACCATGACAATACCCCTTTTTCATTTAAAATGACAAAGTTGAAACCCATGGTTTATTGGGTGGGACATTGGATTTTTTATTTTATTTAATATAATAGACTAGGGTCCATATCATATCAAAGGAAAATTTTTTTATTAATTGCTACAGTGGCATGCCATATATGATAGGGATATTGACTTGTGTCATTAATTAGGATAAAAATCAAATTTGACTAATAGCATGAGTTAAAATCTATTTAAGAAAGGTAAATTTCTATCAATTGTATTGTTGAGGAACTAATACCCTTAAGATTTTATGTGAGGGGTTAATAACCTTAAATTTTGTAAGTTAAGGGGCTAAATAGGGGATTAAACCTTAAAGCAGGAAATTTGGGTAGTAATTGAAGTATTGTTTTTGAGGAATCAGGGTCCACATGTTTATCCTGACTCTATATACAATTTGTTTGAAGCTTTCAACCCCGTTTGAATGGCATCCATGAGTATATATAGGAGAAAAGGTTAGTGTTAAGAAAACTGCTTTTGTATGAAACCAAATTTTGGGTGGCAAACCATGGGTTCGAAAATTCTAACGTTAAACATGTCGAAAACCAGAATGTTTCTGTTCATTATGTTGTTCTGTTGCCTCGTTTCTGAGACATCTGCAACAGTTTCCTACGATGGACATGGCATTCTTGTTGATGGAAAAAGAAGGATTCTAATATCAGGATCCATTCATTACCCAAGAAGCACTCCTGAGGTTCAATTTTCTGATTTTTTTTTTCTTTTTTTTTCTTTTTTTGAGTAAATTTTGATTCTTGAAAAAACTTAATAATGTATATTTTCTTGATGTTTATTTATTTATTTTTTTAAATGTATACAGATGTGGCCTGACCTTATTTATAAAGCCAAAGAGGGAGGCTTGGATGTTATTCAAACTTACGTGTTTTGGAATGGACATGAACCCTCCCAAGGAAAAGTAATGCAATTAATCTAATTAATGCTATTCTTTTTCCTATGTTCAATCACATGTTACCACTAAGACCCTCGGTGGACTCTTCGTAATTTTCTATTTTTGCAGTTTTTTTTTGAAGGGAGATATGATCTAGTTCGGTTCATTAAATTAGTTCAACAAGCAGGACTTTATGTTCATCTCCGGATTGGCCCCTATGCCTGTGCAGAATGGAATTTTGGGTAATTAATTAATTAACTAGTTACATTGACTTAAAAAAACTTTAATACCATTCATGTGACCAACATGGTGAAGGTAGCATAAATTTCTAGTGAAACAGCATGGTATGAGAACATACCTGTGTTCGATATCCAACTCTCAGGATTCCTTTCTTGATTCTCGTTTCAGGGGATTTCCTGTCTGGCTGAAATATGTTCCTGGGATTGAATTTAGAACGGATAACGAGCCTTTCAAGGTCTGCATATATGCTGCTTGTGATATATTTTTTTCAGTTAGTATATTCCATGTATAGTTAATCAATTTGTAAAATTTTGAAGGCGGCAATGAAGGGGTTTACAGAGAAGATTGTGAACATGATGAAGGCTGAAAAACTGTTTGAACCTCAAGGAGGTCCTATAATTTTGTCACAGGTAAGGAACCTGACTGATTTCTTCCAGGATGTTGATGTTTCTTTCTCTAAACTTTTGTTCTATGGATCACAATAGATAGAGAACGAATACGAACTGATGGAATATGATATTGGCAATCCTGGGAAAGCTTATGCCAAATGGGCAGCAGAAATGGCTGTAGGTCTTGGCACTGGAGTTCCATGGGTCATGTGCAAGCAAGCTGATGCCCCTGACCCAATTGTAAGCAGTTTATGACCCATAGAATGCATATGTATATTACATAACTCTTGATGTTTCTTGCACGTTCCATAACTCTCAAGTCTCAATGCAGTAAATATTTGGAAAACTAACCATTGGATTAATGTTATGGGGCTCTCTTTCATTATTTTTTTTCCACAGATAAACACCTGCAATGGTTTCTACTGTGAAAATTTCTATCCCAATGAAGCTTACAAGCCGAAAATGTGGACAGAACTCTGGACTGCCTGGTAATTAAGTCCCACTGGTTTCAATTATATTTCTGGTTGTTTTGAATAATTACCGTAGATTATATAGAAAACAGTTCACCAAAAATGATTTATTCTCTTAGGTTACTTGGCTATGGGGAACCTGCCCCATACAGACCAGTAGAGGATATAGCATTTGCAGTTGCAAAGTTTTTACAGAACAAGGGCTCATTTATAAATTATTATATGGTAAGTTAACATTTAATGTTATGTATGCACAGATGCATTAGCAATATGAATTGAGCTTAGAACCTAACTTCTTTGTTGACGCTTTTCTTTCCTCCTGATATATAGTATCATGGAGGAACAAATTTTGACAGGACGTCTGGTAGATTTGTTGCCACCTCCTATGACTATGATGCTCCAATTGATGAATATGGTAGATAAGAAAGAACAGCTCATTTTCATTTATTTTGGACCACCTAATGTGATTATACTTCCAATTTAGTCATTATGTCTATGATTTAACGTACAGGGTTAGTGAGGGAACCCAAATGGGGCCATCTAAGAAATTTACATAAGGCTATCAAGCTCTGTGAATCGGCTTTAGTCAATTCAGATCCCACAGTTACTTCACTGGGAAAGAATCGAGAGGTTTGTGCTTTTGCTTGCTCTAGAATGGGAATATATCTCTTTGATTTTCTTCCTTGTCTTAATTTAAATCTGACTATAGTTTTCTGTAACAAGGCTCATGTTTTCAAGTCGGGAGGAGCTTGCACTGCATTCCTAGCAAACTATGATGCACAATACTCTGTCAAGGTGTCCTTTGGAAATGTGCAGTATGATCTGCCTGCTTGGTCCATCAGCATACTGCCTGACTGCAAGAATGTTGTATTCAACACTGCAACGGTGAAGAAAATATTCTCATCCTTCACTGAACCAGTTATAATATTTTCTAATGGAGTGGTAAAATATCTGACATAGATTGATGGTGAGGGGTGGACAATCCCTTCACCAAACAGGGTCTTTTGAGGGCAAAACCATGAGATTCATGAGCCGAAGCAAGACCTTGGAACGGAATGCAGGGCAAATTCTGACACTAAAACTTTCAATTAAGGAAATTGATGTTAACACTAGAAAATTGTGCAGGTTAGTTTCCATGGTAAACATATGCAAATGACACCTGTGGGGACGGCATTCTCTTGGCATTCATACACAGAGACAGCTCCTTCTGTGGGTGACAAGGAATCATTTACAGAAGAAGGGTTAAGGGAGCAACTAAATGTCACTTGGGACACTACAGACTACTTGTGGTACATGACAAAGTAAGTAAAAATCATGGTGTTTTGTGGATCTTCGGTTATTATAGCTATAGTTTTCTGCATTTTTTTAACATTGTAGCTTTTTTCATATCAGTGTCAACATAGACAACAATGAAGCTTTTTTGAAGAATGGGCATCTTCCTATCCTCACAGTTGATTCTGCAGGCCATGGTTTGCATGTTTTCATCAATGGTCAATTATCAGGTTTGCTTCTGGCTCTCAAATCTCATTGATTTTTTTTTTTTCCTTTTCTGAGCAACCAATAGTTTTGTTCTCTTCAACTCCCTCACAGGAACTGCTAATGGGAATATCAATAAAGCAAGACTCACATTTAGTGGCAAAGTGAACCTGAAAGCTGGACTTAACCATATTGCTTTACTAAGCATTTCAGTAGGACTCCAGGTTAATTTTTTCCCGAGCATATGGCTTAGACTTTAGAAACAATAGAAAGCTAGCAGATCTTTCAGAATCTTTTACTTTTACACGATTGATTTCAGAATATTGGCACCCATTTTGAGAAATGGAACGTTGGGATCCTTGGCCCTGTTACTTTGCGAGGTCTCAATTCAGGAACTTGGGACATGTCTCGATGGACATGGTCTTACAAGGTCTGTTTACCCACTTCCTATATTATCCACTCAACTTTTCAAACTTATGTCCAAAGAAGAAAGACACCTCAGAATTCTCTTCTTTTGCATTTTCTAAACAGATTGGTGTAGAAGGTGAAGCTCTGGGTCTTTACTCAGTCCATGGAAGCTCTTCGGTTAACTGGGCAGTGGGAAAATCATTGGCTAGAAGTCAGCCATTAACATGGTATAAGGTAAGTATCATCCTGCTACATCAAAATCATATACCTAAAACATTTATTTGACTGCTTTAGAGTGCTTGCTTATGCCTTTGTATCTTTCTCTAGACAACATTCGATGCGCCAGGAGGAAATGATCCATTAGCCCTGGATATGAGTTTCATGAGTAAAGGCCAAATCTGGATAAATGCGAATAGCATTGGGAGGCACTGGCCTGCATATAAAGCTTCTGGAACATGTCACCAATGTTCTTATGCCGGGTTATACAATGAGAAAAAATGTCTATCTGGTTGTGGAGAGTCCTCTCAAAAATGGTGAGTCGAAAACTTTACTTGTCTTCCAAGACATCCGTTCCCCTATTGCGAATCTAGGCATGTAATGGTGTTTTTTGGGGGCGTTTTCAGGTACCATGTTCCTCGATCCTGGCTGAAACCAAAGGGAAATTTACTTGTTGTTTTTGAAGAATGGGGTGGAGATCCAAGTGGGATTTCTTTGGTCAAGAGAAGTTACTAAGGTACTCAGGTATCATTCATCCTTTGAAAGATACAGCAACCAAGTCTGTCTCTCAGTTGCTGCAAATGTAAATTAATGCCTACATGCATAGTGACCTAAAAAAGAAAGTTGTTGATCCAAAAATTATGAGATTTCAATAAAATTTCCAGTTTTATCCGACATGTTGACTTTATATATTAGCATGTAGTTCGACACCATTTCTGATTATCAGAAAGAAAATAAACTTTGGGGTGGGGGGTAAAAATAAACCTTACCTTTCTCTGCATAAAGTGTAGATCATTTTCTGCTTTTTTGTCTTTTTAGTTTCTTGTTTTATGTTTTGTTCTTAAATATAATCCTGTAAACCTGAAGCCCTGAGCATGACTGAATTGATTTGAAAAGCACCTTCATAAATTATTTTGTCACTAAGCAGTACTTCTTTTTACAATTACCTGAACCCCACTGCCAAATATTCACACATCACTCCAAAGTCCAAATCATGAACTTTTGTTTGCTACTGGTAGTTACCCATGACTAGTTTAACACTACTGGAGATGGACCCCTATCACCTCTTGCTCATTGAAAAGACAAATTCAACAAGATGGTGCTTTTGAATCCTTTTAGAAAGACAAATCTAAGTTAAAAATTTATCTAGTAATTGCATAAATATGATACGTATCTATGTATAACTGTGTAGTTCTGATGTGATCTAGATTTTGAATTTCCTTTCATTCAAATTGTGAAAAAGAAAGGTTGGGGGACTGTTGACCCTAGTGACATTGAAGGGTTGTGTTCTTTGTGGGCCATGGGGGGAAGCCTCCAAGGACCCTAATATCCTATAAGTAGATACCTAGATTCCTTGATATAGATTTTTATTTCTTTAAGAGATGGAATTTGGTTCTTTTAGTTAAAGGGTGTGGTATCATCACAAGACCTTTGTAAAGCAAATTGTCAGATGCCAACATGATAAGGTACTTAAATCAGATAATCTTTCAGTTGGGGCATCATTGGCTGTCAAAGGATAGAAAAAAGTACACACCCCAACTTATGCATAATTAGACTTTTAATCTAAGATTTGCAAAGGGAAAGCAAACATTTTTTTACTTTCATTTTGGTTAAAGAAAAGTTTCGTTGTCACTAAGTGGAAAATTCATGAGCTCTCATGATTTCAAAGAAGAAAATGATTATTTCAGAATCAACCCATCTGAAATTGGCCAATCTTTGAGGTAGTTTTCTTCTTTTCAACTCATTTGAAGATTGCTTGGGAGAATTTAAGGAGGAGAGAAAAGCAAAACAATTGATTGAATAAGGTTGATAGCTCCTTTAAAGATGTCATTCATCAGTTGTTTTCTCAAGTCTCAACTTTCTCTTTTCATTTCTTAGGAGGAACCAATCATTCCTCCATTTCGGTTCAATTTTCTGGCTACACGTTGCATTTGGTAGCTCCAAAAACATGATTGTTTGATCATAACATTGGCAGCCTTTCAAACCTTACATCATGTAGGCAAAATCTGCTTCCTTCAAGAAGCAACATGAAAAATATAGGTTGCTACTCCTTACAACATCAATTTATTAAAAGAGAGACAATTTTTGTCTTGCTGATCCAATAATTCATATTTAAAATTTAAGAAACATAATTTTATTTTTAAATCTTGAGCTTTACATTGTTTTTTAGATAAAATTTCTTAATCTTACACTTTAAACCATTTTTTATATTAATGTGATGTTTGATTTTCACTATATCATCTTAGTATGACGAGGAAAACCAAGATTGTAGTTAGCTTCATTTGCACTACTCTTAAACAAAATGATTACTTAAATAGTTAGACTATGATTTAATTTTTGATTATGGAACACAAATTATGGTAGCCATATTCGGTAAAACAAACAAAAAAAAATTGATTAGACAAGGGACCACTATCTTTAACAAAGGAGAGGGATAATTACAATTTGCTAGTGATAATTAGATGTGGTCTTTCGAAAGTAAAATTTCAAGGTGGAGTCTAATGTAGGAAGATTAAGATAGGTGAAGAGATTTAAAATGTGAGACAACTAGAAAAATTCTAATTAGGGGCCAAAAACAGGGTCAATATAAGAAATTAAAATGGGTGGAGGGCTAAGGAAAATAGGAGATTCTTATTTGTTTGTTTATGGAAGAGACAAGGACTGGTGAAAGATTGGTCTGTGATATGCTGCATATGCACAATCATCAAAGGGGTGATTGAAGCCCACAGGAGGCAAAAAGAGACAGCAAGTGGGCCACTCCAGTTTTCCTGGGGAAAGAGCCTGGCAAAATTTTACTACAATAATGGAGTCCTCTATCAATGGCTTCCCCCCTGATTTGACCATACATACTCCCCTCGCACATGCACCCAAAAATATCGTAGTATCAAAACCTCTCTTGATTCAATCAACACCTTACCTTACTATACTAGATTTGTTCTTATCGTTTTTGGCCATTCATCCTTGTCCTTGATTTATTAGTAAAAACCCATTTCATCTTATTAGAGTTTTTTTTAAAGAAATATTATTGAGAATCTTAATTTAAATATTTTAATTGTGTTGTTATATGAGTTGAAGAAAGTTTTTAAGAATAAAAAATCAATTGCTTTTTTTTTTTTTTGAACATATATGCAAGAAGCAGGTTTCGAACCTAACCTAAAAAAAGAAAGAATACACCAAAGTGACTATTGTCACTAGGCCTCAAGGGCAAAGTGCAATCAATTGCTTTCTTATTTCAGCTTTTGCAACAGGAAAAAATATTTCGTCTTTAATAATAGTGTTACAGATATTCTGGCAAAGCTCAGGACAAGTATTTACAATGAATGCCCATCATAGGGCTGTTATTGGGACATAAATATGGAATTGGGATTCATATTTAATTTGATTTCCATTATTACAGAAAAAGGCTGATGGGATTTTGATGGTATGAGAAGCAGACACAAATATGTGTTGTTTTTTTAGCTGATGTATTGTTTTGGTTCTTGTAGACTGTAACTGTCCCTCAGCTGTCTCATAGCATACAGACTCTTGGATTTGCTGTGCAGAGAAATCTATTGTACCAAGTGGGTAGGCCGTATGACTTAACTGTCTTAGTGTATGTCTCCATGTCACGTATGCATGGAGTTGGACCTATCATTCAACGGAGTCCCACAAAAAAAAGGTGAAGAAAAAAAAAAAAAAACATGATCAAACCAAATCGGACGGCAATTAGTATCTCACTGTGTCATACTAAGTGACAAGGGCTTGTTTGGATGTGAGATCAGAAATCATGGGCAGAGACGCAAAGCAGCGAAGATTTTCAAAGCTGGAAAGAGCCGGGTTTGCCGGATCATGTCCTCTGAACAGACCAAAAACAAAGGCTATAGTAAATAATATTAGAGATAGCAAAACAAAGGTAGGGATCCAAAGCTGTTTCTTGTTCTTTGATCCCTGCCAACCTTTCAAATATTCAATGCCTTTAGTTAATTGGGTGGGGAAGGGGGGGGGAGTTTGGCTTTGAATAATCAAAGAGAGATTTGGCATTGAAAAGAATCTGAAACTTAGTATTAAAGATCAAAGAGGAACAAACCATAGAAAAATGCAAAAGAAGCTTCTTTAAATATTCATGCAATACATCTAAAAATGTCCCATCTATCTCTTCCATTCCCTCCCTAATCTTCCTTTTTCTTTTGTTGATCTCATCTCTCACTCATTTCTCAACTTTATAGAAAGAGAAAGAAAGATTTAAAGATAGTATTGAAGAGGAAAAAATATATATGAAATTAGAATTTATGGGTCTAAAGTAAACTTCAATCAAAACAGTGATAGTGTTGAAGAAGTCTATCAGCTTCTCTAAGACCACTAAAGTAAGCTCCATGAGTGGTAGAATAGTGAGTTCTGTGTGTAGCCTCCCCTGCAAAGAGAATTTGAAGTGGGCACACCAAAGGACTAGACTCACCACCACCAGGGTTGCTGATGCTGACCTTGGGTAATGGTTCAGCCATTGTGTCTAAATCAGCACCACTTGATCCAACAGCTACATAGCTGTATGATCCCAAGAAAAGAGGGTCACTGGCCCATTTGCTTTTCAACACCTTGGAGAATTTCAATCCAACCCCACTAAGATTTTCAAAAGATTTCACATTACCATTGCATAATTCATGGGAATTGGGGTTTCTTTCCTGGTGGGGATGTGACAGAAAGCTACAGACTGTTGTCGAAACCCCATCTATGATCTCTTCATCAGTGAGGGTTTCTAGCTTTAGAGCTTCTTGCCCTGCAAACCAAGATAGCAGGACAGTTGAACTGTGATAAATGGGGCACAGAGAAGCTGTCCTTCTCATCCACCATGGGATCTTCTTGTGCCTCAATTCAGAGTCAGATGGCTGAAAAATCATTTGCAGGGAGGGGAACTTGATGCTTCCATGATTTTGTTGATCTTGGGTAGGGCTCAATTGGAGGAAGAGCTTGTTAACAACACCAAATCCAAGCCTCGAGATGGCCTCAGTCTTGAAAGGAGGAAGTGGAGGAACGAACATACCTGAATCCTGTGAAATCCCAGCTTTAAGGACCCCTAAAGAAACGGTTACTATAACATGATCAGCCAACATAACCGATCCATCGCAGAAATGTAGTTTCACAGGCCTAGAATCATAGACATTTTCCAATTCTAGGAGGCGGTGGCCCTCTGGTTGCCACTCGATTCTGGTCACTTTCCGGCCTAATTTGACTAAATCGGGTGGAAGAACAGATGCTAAAGATTCGATTATGCTCAGGTAGCCTTTAGCAATTGTGATTTCTTCCCCTGGAAACATTCGGTACTCGCTTTCCGCATTGAAATCTAGAGTCAAGAGGTCACCGGCAGAAGTGTAAGTCCTCTGGTTGTTCTCGTGCATGGCAAAAATGGCTTCTTCAAGCAACTTCCTGCTCCATTTACCATACCCATGGAGCTCTTCTCCTTTGTCTTTCACAGAATCCCAGTAAGCCTCTAGTCCTTTCCTAAGAAAAGAGCCAATGCTAAGCTTCTCAAATCCACCATTTACCGTACAGATTTTGGCTGCTGCTTTAGCCGCCAGCTTGGAATTTAAACAAACATCTGGAGTACTAGCTTCAATCTGCTTCCCCTGAGCGAAATCCATCAGGTTCTTGAACAAGACAGATATGGGTTGAACGGTGGCAGTGCTGAGCTCGAACCCACCTTCCGCAACCGTCCTTGCCTCATCAGAGAACCCATCCATGCATTCCCAGGGCTTCCCCGACTCAAGTGCGCCGATTTCCTGTGCAATTTGGTGAACCGGGCTGCCACCAATTCCATGGATCCACGTAGCACCCATCTCGATTCTGTCACCACCAAACTCCGACGTGTTGATTCTTCCGCCAATTCTCGTCCCACCTTCCACCACACAGAGGTCGAACAGGTCTTTGGAGCTGGCGGAAGTGTAGAGCCTGTTAGCTGCCGTGAGACCTGCCATTCCCGCACCAACTATCACAATTCTTGGCTTCTTCGCCATTACAGTACCTTGGATTCAAGCTTTAGAGAAACCCAGAAAAATTCAGGAAATGCAGAAAGGGAAAACAAGAAAAATTAATAGAGAGAAAACAGAGTGGAAGAAGCACCGTGAGGTGAGATTGAGTTACCGATAAGGAATTTATAAGGGGATGTATACTGTATGTGGCTTCTTAAAGCCTTCACCTTTCTCTTTTTTCATTTTTTTTCTTTTTCTAGATTTGTTTTATATTTTTTAATAAAAGTAACCTTGG